CTGGTCCTGCACCATCCTAAGAAAACCAATGATGCAGCCACTACCAAATCATCTAATTAAAGGTCTTCCTCTTTATCACCGACCCTTGACTTTTGACCAAGCATGATGTCCTTTTCCGGGACTGGTCCCATCTAGTAACATGTCCAGGGAACATGCAAGTCTTACCATCCTCTTGTCTAAGCAGCATGCTGGATGTACTTCTTCCATGAAAGATAATGTTTGTTCTTCTGGGGATCAGTGGTATACCAGGGAGCTTCAAAAAGTTCATGGATTGATGGAATTAAAAGGCAATGGAATTTTTCCATGATTTTTTGAAGCCACCTTGCTTTTAATAGTACTCTTTGCCAACAACCTAATTTAAAGGCACAGCTTCTTCTTCAGTCTTCCTTATTCACTGTCCAGCTTTTTACTGGCATATGTGCTGACTGAAAATACCATGGTTTGGGTCAGGCATACCTTAATCATCAAGATGACATCTTTGCTTTATAACGCTTTCAAGTGTTTTTGCAGCAGATTTGCCCAATGTAATATATGCTTTGATTTCATGATTGCTGCTTCCAAGGGTGTAAAATGAAATCCTTGACTTCAATTTTTTTTTATCCATTTAATAAGCACAGTGGAAAATAGAAGAATGTGATAAAATGAGGCAAGCCCAAAATTTCCAATTAATTTATTGTTGCAAAACTATGATGTGCAACAAATCAGGACACAAGTCACTGAATCCTTACAGGTCAAAGGAACATGAAACATTTTATCTCCTTAGTAAACCAAGACCAGTCCCAGTATTTCTTACAAGAATCACACCAACATTTTGCAGTTACCAGAACTGAGATTCTCACAATGTAAAATGACAGCCTAGGTTAAAAAAACGATCACAAGACATTAATTTTGTCTAAATGACAGCATGTGAACTTGATCTTTTTGAAACATAAAGTGCATGAGTTTTTCACAAACTCTGAATTGTGTTCTATGTGAATGGTGCCCAAAGGTCAGTCAAGTTAATTGACTCAAAACACCACTAAAGTTAAATGAACTGTTTAACAGACATAACTTTAGAGTGTTCATATATAAGTGGAGTCACTGCTCATTCTTCATGTTGTTTTACACAACCCTCAATAGCCAAACAGTATGTGAAAACACAGAAACCTCAAATGCAAATCGTTTTTTTTTAAGAATGTCTTATAAGAAAATAATTAAACAGCTAGCTGAGGTAAACAACTTAATATCACACCTTCACTGAACTCTTGGTCTGGTGTTTGATTTGTTATCAAGTGCCTTATATGATTTTTAACACAGCATTTTCTGAAATTTAGTTCTCAAAACAAGAAATTAAGTAGGAGACCTAATTTTAAAAAAAAAGCAAGAAAAGCCTAGGAGGAGGCTTCGAAAAGTTGATGGGGAAAAAAAAAAAAAAGAATGAAAAGATAATGGAATTTTCCCACCAACTTTCTGAAGCCTCTTTGTATATATAATTATAATAAACAGTTTTGTATAACTTTTAGTATTTTGTATAACTCTTTACTTTTCTACACTTGCCCTATTTTCAATGACTGTTTAGAACTTTAGAGTTCCTGAGTGGTGCAGATAGTTATTTCCAGTCACCCTGTCACAGGGCCTCTGCAGAAAGGCCTGGCAATTCATTCTGAAAAATCAAGTCCCTGAATGCCTTATGGAGAACAGTTCTATTCGGACACACACGGGGTTGCCTCGAGTCAGAGTCAATTTGATGGCAACTGATATTTAGAATTTGACAGTAATGTTTGCGCTAAGTCAGAATCTTAGGAAAGGAAGAGTTATGTGAAGGCTACCTAGCTCAGAACTCTGACTAGATCACTCTCCCTGCACCTCCCCCAGCTGGTTTTCCCATGCAGTTGATTTGCAGCAACTTAATTTACCTACACAAGTCTCTTTAAGATGGCCAGCAGAACAGGAGATCCAACTTGTAAGTCCATTGATTCCTGAACTAGCCTGTCCCTCTGACATCTATGTTGAGAGTCGTTTTTCAAACATATCTATAAATCGGGAAAGAAATAGGTATGGGAACCAAGTAGAATGGCGGTGGTGGTGGTGTTAAATGCCACGGAGTCAGTTATGACTCACAGCGACTGTGGAAATGGAAGATGGAGCTACTGTCCTCTTACATACAGCCATACTGACGCCTCAGTAGGAAATGCCTCCTCCACCCAACAAATCCTAGTGACACTTTGTCAGTTCATAAGGAAATTTAAAAAAAAAAAAGGAGCTTCTGCATTAAATCACTTCCAAATTCCCTGAGCATTCACACAGAAACAGGCAGCAATGTTATTTAGTCACTAAAGGGAGAGCTCCATCAAAAAGTGGGTCCTTTACTTTTATTTAATTTCTTGAAGGACAGAAGAAGAAATCAAAGCTATAGGTATGTCCCATAGCTGCATATATAACCTGTCAATCAGCACATTTCAGTATTCAGTGCAGTGTATTAAAAAGTGATGTCCATTGTGGAAGGCTATAATAATGTTTACTAACTATGGAATATGAAAAATAACCCTGTCCCCCAAGCTTTCATGTCAATATTAATTGCTGACCCTCTCTGTTCAAACTTGTTTCTGCATGAAGAGAGAAAGAAGAGCAGAGGAAAATACGAACTCTTGGAAGTGCAAGCACTATTTATTCCAATGCAGGGTCACTCTTCCCGCCCCCCCCCCCCTTTTTTTTTAACTTTATTGTGAATT